AAAACTTGGCAAGATCCAAAGCAACGTACAGTCCAGCTTTGAAGTTAGCCCTGCTGTGAGTAGGAGATTGAACTACGTGACCTTCAGAGGTCCCTTCAGATCTAAGTTTTTCTTTGAGTCTGTGATAGTCCTTGAGAACAGTAAGTCCTCCACAAATAAATGATCTGGATGAGGAACGCTTGGACTATGTTGTGTTTCACTTACGTAGCCTTTGTGGGGAGAGATGAGCAAAATAGCTTTCTAATGGCAAAGGCACCTGTTTCTCAGGGAGGAGTTGTTCAGGGAACGTATGATAAGCAAGCTGAAAAAGCAAGTGGCTAATGTATTTGGTGGCAGTCAGTGGTCATCTGGCAGGGTTAGTCGGTGATGGATCTGCCTCCATAGTCAAGGCACTAAACCTTTCTTTTTTTTTTTCCCCTATGAATGAGAAATAGTGAAAAATCAGAGCGGTTGTGAGTAGTACATAGAGTTTCCCCTATGAATGAGAAACAGTAAAAAATCAGAGCGGTTGTGAGTAGTACATAGAGTATGAGTAAGATTGCATTGGCAACACGTCTGAAGTTTGTCTGAGGCTTCTGTTGCAAGAGGCAGTTGAGATGTAATGTGCTGTGACCCCTTTGCAGAAGCAAGGTTAAAGATGTGAGTAATACTCTGGGAACAAATGGAGTACAATATATTTTCTTTCCCAGTATGTCAGTCTTGGCAGTGCCGGTTTTTCTGTCATGTTACCTAACATAAGCAACAAATCCAGCTCTCTATTAGCAATCCAGATTGTATCAGTAGATTATGGCTGCTCTCTTTACAATCCTTGAAAGCTATGGCCTAATCGCTTCTCCTGTCTGCTTTCTGTCTTTTTTAATTGATCTGAATGAGCAGTCAGTGTCAGAAAATGTGGTGGAAAAAATAGTAGTATTCCTTTTTCTTTTCTTTTGGCACTGCTTTTAGTGCTACTATGTATAAAGAAAATGGAAGTTAAGATCATTACAGACAACTGTATTTAATGCAAAGTTCTGTATCTTCTCCTTCAGCGAGCCCTACGTCCATATCCCTTTCTGTGATGACCTGTTCAAGTGCTTCTGTCCTTGGTCTTCTCATTAATCTCCTTGATCATCCCCTCCTCAGTAATGTCTCCTTTTCTTACCAAGAAGTCAGCGTATTTCTGGTTACAGAAAAAAAGCAGAACTTGGCAAACCAAGGATGTTTCCTCTCAGATGCGTTCTCTCTTTCTGATGATACGCCCCTGCCTCTTGCCTTCAAAGCTGAAAATCAGTGTGTCTGACTCCTCATGCTCCTTTTTCCTGAGAACAAACACAGTAGAACATAAAATCCTTCCATAAAGCTTTTGTTAGTTGTGTAAAGCTTCCACAACTGCTTTGTTGTATTTTGGACTATGTTCTCAAATTGGTATCTTGATAATTTTAGTGCTGGTAGCTAATCAGCTTATTTGGATTCGATTGGGTTGCTGATAGAAACCTCTTCTCGTAAGGGTAGGAGAATGAGTAGATCTTGGAGCCTAATTGACATTTGAATTAGTAACTTAAATCTCTTGTAGGAATCAACTCTAAAAAGGCGTCCTTAGATCAAAAGAAAATTGTGATCAGAGGACCTGGTCTGGAGATACAGAACATTATTGCTTCTAATTACTTTCTCTCTGTTTGTTTGTTTTTTTTTAACAAAGATCTTTCTCATTGCTGTCCGTATTTCCCCCTTTGTACCCCACCCCCAGTCTACCAGCACAACTGCCTATGTACTTGCTTTCAGTCTTTTGTCAAAATCAGGTGGGTTTAAGTTGGGAACAGGTTAGATGATGACTGTATCTGCAGTTCTGCAAGCAGGTTTCAGGAGGCAGTCGCCTGGATGGGGAGGAAGAACGGGAGATGTTGTTACATCTTACTTTTTGCTTGGCTACTATCAGAAGCTTATCTGACTGTAGGCTGTGTGTCCACCTGGGAAAACTAGTAGAAGCTTAGTATTCCAGTCTGTATGTAATTCATGTCTTTTCTCATTGCTGTCTGTATTTCCCCCTTTGTACCCCACCCCCAGTCTACCAGCACAACTGCCTATGTACTTGCTTTCAGTCTTTTGTCAAAATCAGGTGGGTTTAAGTTGGTGTATGATGACTGTATCTGCAGTTCTGCAAGCAGGTTTCAGGAGGCAGTCGCCTGGATGGGGAGGAAGAACGGGAGATGTTGTTACATCTTACTTTTTGCTTGGCTACTATCAGAAGCTTATCTGACTGTAGGCTGTGTGTCCACCTGGGAAAACTAGTAGAAGCTTAGTATTCCAGTCTGTATGTAATTCATGTCTTTCCCCTGTGGATGAGCTGTTAGACATTAAAAGTGGCTTTTTTTGTTGCTTTGGTTTGAACTCGTTATATGTACGCTTAGTCTAGAAAGCAGGTTTTCTAGGTCAACGAATTATTCTAAGAATAAGCATTAGGTTTAATTATGATCTCCTTAGTCCTGTGTGTTGAATTTAATGCAGCCACAACTAAAGTGCTCCTTGGTGGAACCTGTGTTTTATGACCTGCTTTTCCACAGCTGACATGCCTTTCTTAATAGTTCAAGGAAGCAATCATCTGTAATTATTCTAGAAAGATGTAGTACCTATTGTGTACATGAGACTCCAACTCTTAAGTCTGGCTCTATGCTGAGTCTTACGCCCAGATCTAGATCTGTGTAGGGATCTGAGCTGCTAACTTCCCTCAAACCAGCTGTGAGCATCAGCGTTCCTAATGAAATACGTGTCCTCTTCAATCCAGAAGAACTGTCCAAGTGACAGTGTTATAAACCTGCTCAGCTTGGTACAGCTCTTACTCAGAGCCTGTATGCTGGATTGGAAGGGAGCTGTGCAGTATTGCCTAGGGACATACATACATCCTCTCTGTGAGCACTAAAGGCTGGCTCTGTAGGTCTTACAGCTATTCCTCCCATAAGGGGGGGAAAAAAGGTGTTTAAAATTTAATTATGATCACTGATCTTCCGCTGCTCAGCTAGAGACAGGACAGTTCTGTTAGAGGGGGAAAAACCTGTAAAGAAAAGGTCTAATATTTTAAATGGATTATAAAAGTTGTTTTATTTTTTTTCTTCTCTGAAGTTGGGAGGCTTTTAGGCTTGAGGCCAAGTAATTTTTGCTCTTGCCCAGGATTGTCCAACACTGCTTCCTCACTAATCCTTTCTTGTGTATTACAGAAGGAAGTTTCACTGCTCACCTCAAAGGCATGTGGTGTTGGAATGCCCATAGGGTATCTGTGTTCTGTTCCTTGAGCAGTTGTGCCATGCCATTGCTGGAGTCCCTAGTTCCAAATTAGTGGAAGGGCTTCTTGCCTCTTTTGGACATAACAACAGCTATTAGAGTCGGTAATTAAAAAAATAAAATGTACGTTTTCCTCACTGCTTTGTTTGTTAAAGGAGAGGGAGATTTATTCTTCCTGTCTGTCTTTACCAAAATAGCTAGGTGGATGGGCTAAAAAACTGGTATTTCTCTTCCTTTGTCCACCCAAGTTGTGCTTTTTAAAGGCTCCAATAGAATAACCAGTTTGGCTGTTGCAATCCAGCTTTGCTTATAATTTGTTATAAGCTATATAATATATAGAATTAATATATTATAAATGAATATATTAATTGCTTTCCTTTTGAACTATTGTCTTATGTTGCAGATGAAACCACTGCTGTCAACTCTAATACTGCCTGAGCAGTAAATGAAACTACTGTATATGTCTAATGCTGTGAGGATTTGTAATCTTTACTTTTTTTTCCAGTAAAACGGGAAGTTAGGAGTGTTTCAGAGTGCAGCGTACCGCTCGCTTCCTGAAATTCTAGGGTATTCTAGGAAAAAGCCTCTGGGCTATTAAAATGTATAGTCTCAGGCCTGAAAGCACAAAATCCATCCCTTTGCTATGAAGCCCTTCTCAAGGCTTTTCTCACCAGTGGCATTGGGAATCCAGCGTGAGGACCTGAGCACCATCCAGACAAATAGAAGGAAATCTGCCAGTTTCCACTGCGGTTTGTTTACTTAACAACTGTGTGCCTGTGAGGAGAGGAATGGATTTATGAGTTCATGTTTTCCAGCAAACTCCTGTCTTGGGGATTGGGGGGAAGATTGATTTGCTCTCTTGCCAGAAGAGTCTTTGCCCTACAAATATGATGTTGTCAAATGCTTAGTGCAGCTTTTTTTGTGTGCTATTTATAGTTCTTTGTGCTGTGAACTGGTGATTCCACATTCACTCATGCAGTTCTTACTTGTTACAAAAGTATAGAAATAAGCAAGCAAGGATTTATTTTTTGTAAGGCACTGTTCACTTCTGAATGTTTTTGTTATTTTTAAAGAGGGGGGGGGAAAAGCTACAAAGACATGCAAACTGCTCACAGAGCTTGTCTAAAGACCAAATGTAAATATGCAAACTAGTCTTTTAAGCTGGTGTAGTCCAAGTAATTATGGTCTCTTGAATTGATGTGGTTACAGAGTAATGGAGATGATTATTCAAATAAGAATTTAGACATAGCCGTAGGATACTTTATATAAATAAAGGTATTTAAAGCACTTTATATACTGGTGAGATATTTCAAGGCAATAAAGAAAATCTCGCATCCAGTCGAAAATGTTTACTTTTGTACTAACTAGGCTGCCTGTGGTAGACCAGATGAAGTAACTGCACGAAACAGTTGCAAAGAGAATCTGGTGGAAAACTTTTTAGCCCCGTCATGATGATAGTGAGGGAATAAATTTCCTTACCATAAAAGTTTCCCTAGTATGAAAAAGGCTTTCCCTGGTATGAAATGGTGCCGTGAAGTGTAGCTCAAAGGTCTAATTTCATTGAAATTAGGAATGCGGTTGTTTCTTCATTTTGGTATTGAATATTATGTGAAAAAAAAAAAGATTGTAAATGCTATTTTGAAGTTTGAAATTTTTTTGTCACCGTTCAAAAAGGAGATATATTTTATTAAACCATGTGACCCATTAGAACCCAGGAAGTTAAAGTAAGATTGTGTCTGTAACAGGTACTTCAAGTGACTTCAAGTACGGGCTGCTGCCGGGGACTTCAGGTGACTTCAAGTACGGGCTGCTGCCAGGTACTTCAGGTGACTTCAAGTATGGACTGCTGCCGGGGACTTCAGGTGACTTCAAGTACGGGCTGCTGCCAGAATCTTGGCCAAAAGAAGCTTGGGAAAATGGCAAGTATACCTGATGGAGAGGAGGTGTTTTATTTGCCTCTGAAAGGGGGTCTTTATCTTCTGTGTCACTGCTAGTAATATTTGATACGTTTGTTTAGAGATATAGTGTTTTGATAATCTTCTTCCATATAATTTGCCTTTCTGGTTAATGTAAAGATGAGTACTTCCTTGGAGGGAGGAAAAAAGAATTCAAATATATGGAAAAGTGAAAACAGAACGTGATTGATACCAGCTCTTGCATTGTGCCTGAATACGAAGGTACCTGAGGTCTTTAATTATCTAATGAGGGAGGGGAAAGCTTAGTAAGCTAACTAAATGGGCTTTGAACACTTGAAGGATGAGGATATAAAGTTAAATATAACTTTAAAAGTACATCTGAGAGCATACTTCTCGCTATTAAAAATAAAAGCTTCATTGCAATAAAAGTTTTGAATTTAAAGCAGCCATAACTAAAGCGCTCTTTGGTGGAACCTGTGTTTTATGACCTGCTTTTCCACAGCTGACATGCCTTTCTTAATAGTTCAAGGAAGCAATCATCTGTAATTATTTTCCCGTCTGAAAACATACCAAAATCTCCACCACATCTAAAATAATTATTGCTAGATCCTTAAAATGTGTAAAGTCTTCAATAAAAAGAGGATCTTAAGGACTGGCTAAGAGTAATGCCTACCTCTTCTCTGTAACTTCAAGCTATTACTGGGGTGTGTTTTATGGTTTAAATATTTTGGGGTTTACAGTGGAAGAAATTGGGTCATCAGAAGGTGAAACTCACTAGCAGGCAAGGGATGAGAACCTCTGGTCTTGGGAGGTCTGCCTGTTCTTAAACCATTAAATTCCCCTGTGTCTTACAGCCCAGATGTCTGCCTGTCTGTCATACCCCTGTTGATGTGTGTAAGACTGCAGTTTAAAACCTTTTTTGAACTTATTTTTCTTCATGTAAGCCATCATGTGACATGTTAACATGCAGCTTGCATGGGTGCTCCGATATACCAAGGCAAACCTTTGAATGTTAGCAAAATTTAACTTCCATGTTACAATGGCTTTTGAAATTAGGAGGAGGCATCTTTAGATACAGGCATGCAGGCCCATACACAAAACACACAATTATTTTTGCTTTCGTCCTGCCAGCGTGAACATTAAAAACTCTTAAATGTATAATCACTTAGCTTTTAACTAGTGCTTTTTGGATGCTTCTAGATGGTCATAATCATCTCTCTCACCTGTAGTCAGTCGAGTCAGGATCCTATTCTCAAAATAACCCCTGCATTCTGTTGTGTGGCCTTCTTCATGGCTGTCACAGCATCCTGTGCTTTTCTATTGCATGTGGTAACAGGCACCTGTAATAAACCTGGTTTGCATATATCCTTGACCAAGTTATGTTATCCTTGGTCCAAGGATATGTAAATAGTTCTTCCATCATAAGGAAGAAGTGGGGTATTGCTACTTCGAGGAGCTTTTTCTGCTCTCTTTATTTTTTTCTGCTGTTAGACCAAAACAGACTTTGGGTAGAGAATAGCTAAGATCTGAACCAATAACTTCCCTTTTTAGCTATTTCAGAGGTACGCTAACTCTTACTGTGTTGCTCCTTTTGTCAATATTTATTCTTGCTTAGTTATATTTTCTTTTTCTATTTATTTGTAGAGCCAGATCTTGGTGGCAGTTCCTGCATGTAATTCTAAATAGAGTACTGGGAAAGAAGATTATAACTCTGTAAATGCTGCAGAGCAAGAGGGTTTCTAACCCAGAGTAAACTGTTTTCTGCTATAGGTGACCTCTAGAAAATTGAACTCTTCTAGCTTGTAGTGAACTTACTTTGATTCCTGAAATAAGACTTCTTTTCAAAGAATTGATCTGTACTTCTGTGGTAAAAGTTCTTTGGTTCCAAGCAGGTGTTTTTCTAGCAAGATTATACATGCAGAACCTCCCAGTGTGTGTGGTTTCTGCAGGCAGGCATTGTCCTGATTTGGCTGATGAAGTGTCATGTGGGTGCTTTATTGTGTTGGCACCTGTTTATTTTTGTGCACCAGGCAGAACGTATTGAAATAGTTTTTTTGTGTTTCATCATCTCTTCTCCTGATGGCTTATTTTCTTGTAGGCGATTCCTCTGCATTAATCATGAACAAGTTGAAGTGTCCACACTGTAATTATGTAGCCAAATACAGAAGAACACTAAAGAGACACTTGCTCATTCACACAGGCGTGAGATCTTTCAGTTGTGACATCTGTGGGAAGCTGTTCACTCGAAGAGAGCATGTAAAGAGACATTCCTTGGTAGGTAACCTCAAGTGCACGCGTGTGTACCTATGCACATGGATGAGTGGGGTTTTATGATTCTTCCAGAAAAAGTGGTTGTGAGTTTCCAAGTTTCAATGCGGATGCAAAAAAGAGATTTTGGTGTAAGCCTTTCTAACTTTCTTTTCCAGCTTGTGCTATCATGAAACGGACTTTCTGTTAGCCAGTAAAATTATTAAAAGTAAATAATAACCTCAGTCATCCCAGGATATAATTATGGAAGACATTTATAAGACCACTGTAGTAATTTTTAAGGATTCCTTAATATGCCTTACAGGTAGGAAAGGCACATGTTAATAGCTCCTGTGTAAATTTTAGAACCAGCATCTTTGTTATGTTCCACTGGACTTATCTCAGATACACATCCTTCCCCCCTGCCCCCACTGCCTTTCTTCTTCCTCCCGTACCACCTGGCCAAGGGGTTTGTGTTGTGTGTTCTGTATTTAGCCTGAAGGGACAGGAGCACCTATGATGTTACTGAGCCTGAAGGACACTTTGTCCTGTGGTGTGTGTAGGTGACCGCAGCGATGGAGGCGGCGATGGTGTGGGGCAGCCCTGTGGCTGGGCAGAGGTTAGACCATTATCACATTGCTGGTGGTGATACCACCAGTGTAACGTGTCCCAGCAGCTACTCCTTCCCTTGTGGCTCACCAGAGAAGATAGTAACAGTGGGTGGTAGCTGATCTACCAGGAAGGGTAGAGTGGGACTTCAGGCTTCTGTCCTGCGGTATCTGACCAGGTCATGTAGCTGAAAACTTCTTTATTTTGTTTTCCTCCAGGAAAGGAGATGAAATCAGAGTGAAAGTAGCTATAGAGTGAGCCCAGCCCTGTGCTGTAACTGCAGTGTGCTATCCCTGGTCAAATCAGAACCCTTTATTTTTAATATCTGACCAGGTCGTGTAGCTGAAAACTTTTTTATTTTGTTTTCCTCCAGGAAAGGAGATGAAATCAGAGTGAAAGTAGCTATAGAGTGAGCCCAGCCCTGTGCTGTAACTGCAGTGTGCTCTCCCTGGTCAAATCAGAACCCTTCATTTTTTTTCCCATCCTTCCCCCTCCCCGTTGAACAAACGCCTCACGTTGTGCCTTGTGTGAAAGGTTATCATAACAAGTCTAGAGGCTGAGGAAAAATCATGTGGTATCTGCTGTAGAGATTATACAGTGGGACTGAAGTAATTCTTTGTATCTTGACCGTGTATTTTTTTTTTCATCATCTGTGTGGCAATTTCTGTTTTATCTAAAATGGCAACTTTTGCAATGGGACCTCAAATGAGATATTTAAGTGCATAGTTGTAACCTGTTGTGGGGACACCAGATAGAAGAAAGAGGTCTTCAATGTAATTTCTTCCAAGGGGATAACTGTTATACGTGGTTGCTGAATTCAGTTCCTTGTACAACTAACATACTCTCAAAATTAAAATTCTTGTTTAGTCAAGTTAGTCAGCAGCAGCCTTGTAATTTCACACACAAGCTCACTCTACATAGAGGACAAAAACTCACCAGCGGAAATCTAGAGGCTGAGGAAACATCATGTAGTATCAGCTGTAGAGATTATACAGTGGGACTGAAGTAATTCTTTGTATCTTGACCGTGTATTTTTTTTTTCATCATCTGTGTGGCAATTTCTGTTTTATCTAAAATGGCAACTTTTGCAATGGGACCTCAAATGAGATATTTAAGTGCATAGTTGTAACCTGTTGTGGGGACACCAGATAGAAGAAAGAGGTCTTCAATGTAATTTCTTCCAAGGGGATAACTGTTATACGTGGTTGCTGAATTCAGTTCCTTGTACAACTAACATACTCTCAAAATTAAAATTCTTGTTTAGTCAAGTTAGGCAACAGCATCCTTGTAATTTCACACACAAGCTTGCTTTACATAGAGGACAAAAACTCACCAGCGGAAAGATGATGTTGGGTATGGTTGGGGCAGAAGCATCTTGCTCTTTGAGTTCACGCAGAATTTTATAACTCCTGCTTGTCCATAATGTTTTTAAGGACTTAAACTTGTAAAGGTGATTTCCTAAAAGAGACACGATGCTGTGTGCACGGAAGGGCTCACACTGTTCTCATCACCTCCGGAGTCTCGCTCCATGCAGGAGTCGATGCAGAGCGACCAGGTGGCTCCTCAGCTCCCTGCTGGGCAGAAGGCAGCTCCTCTGGTTGTGGGCAACAGCTCCTGCAGTCAACATGTGTCTCTCTTCCTCAGTAGTGCTGAGCTATCTTGTGGAAGAGTTAAAAAAATGAGGCTTTGTATTAGTAATTAGTATTACTATCAATAGTTTTCTAGTACTATATGCACATGCGACGTGATACACCTATGAGGGCAACGAAACTAGTGAAGGGCCTAGAAGACAAATCATATGAAGAGCAGCTGAAGGAGCTGGGGCTGTTTAGTATGAGGAAGAGGAGGCTGAGGGGAGACCTCATCACTCTCTACAGCTACTTGAAAGGACACTGTAGAGAGGTTGGGGCTGGTCTCTTCTCACAGGTAATTAACAATAGAACGAGAGGGAACAGCTTCAAGCTCCAACAGGGGAGGTTTAGATTGAACATTAGGAAGGAATTTTTCACCCAAAGAGTGGTCGGGCATTGGAACAGGCTGCCCAGGGAGGGGGTGGAGTCCCCATCCCTGGCTGTGTTTAAGGGCCGTTTAGATGCAGTGCTGAGGGACATGGTGTAGGGGAGGACTTTGTAGAGTAGGGGAGATGGTTGGACTTGATGATCCCAAGGGTCTCTTCCAACCTCAATGATTCTATGTTTCTATTCTATGATTTTCAGCTGTTAATATTTCTCTTCCACAGGTGCATAAAAAGGATAAGAAGTATAAATGTATGGTGTGTAAGAAGATCTTCATGCTCGCGGCCAGTGTTGGGATAAGACACGGATCACGGCGTTACGGAGTTTGTGTAGACTGTGCAGATAAATCTCAACCTGGAGGGCAGGAGGGAGCAGACCAGGTGCAGGACACGGATTTCCCTAGGGATGAAGAATACGAGGAGAACGAAGTGGGAGAAGGTGACGAGGAGCTCGGTGACGATGTAGAAGACCAGACCGAGCAGTCTCGATGGGATGAATCCGGGGAAGTTTGTATGCCTTTAGATGACTGACAGAGCATATGACTTCAGGGTGCTGCAAATGGACGCTACACGGATGGACTGTTGGAATTTTTGGACTGAAGGCTTGTGAAATATGGTACAGGCTGGATGGTAGTTATGTTGCTGTGAAAAAAGTAGGGTCAAAGCCTTATAGCAAAAAAGGATTATTAATTTTTTTATGATATTTGCACAGGACTGTACAGCATACAACCATTTGGTTGAATTATACAGAGCCCTCACATCTACAGTCAGTTATCAAAAGAAAAAATGTATTTTTTATTATTTATAGGATATAGCTACTTGGGTCCTATTCAGACATAGTAGTAACTGTACTTAACGTTAAACATTCATGTATCTGTTAACATGAATGAAGAAAATTGGTATGGAAATACAAAGAGAGCTTTCCCAAATGCACTCATACTTTGTCAGTGAACCAGTGAAGCTAATTTGGGCTAGTGACTCTGTTTTCCACAAGCATGTCTTTGCCATGCAAACCTTACCTCTCCCTTACCCTGATAGGTGAAAGCCAATCATTTAAATATGCATCACAGATAATGCCAACACTGTGTTGAAATTGGGGTTTAAACCTTTTGGCTCTATGCTCGCAGGTGGTATAGATGGTAAGCACTGGAGAAGTTAACAATGGCATTAATTTAGTGTCTATTTCTTCACAGCTCTGAATTTTCAAGAAGGTTGTTACTGATTTCATCAATTCCGTAATGATCTTGCAGAAGAAATGACCAATAATGAAAATAATAGGCTGATCAGAGCATGGGTAACTCTTCTGCCCCTTGGTCAAAAGAGATAGTCATGCGAAGAACCCTCTGATGTACCGATGTTTCCTCCCTCCTGTAAGGCCCCCTTTCTCAAACTTTCTGACTTCCCTGGTGTGTACCTCAGTCCCACAGAATAAAAATACACGGAATGGAGAAAGTGTCATACTAAACGACTTTTTTGGTTGATAAATTTCTTACTTGTCTGGTTTTTGGCTAGTTTATGTGATGTGAATTGGACACTAGGCTGTTGTGCCCATCGTTCGTCATTAAAATGAACACCAACTATTTTTTATTCTTTTGTACTTAATGGGTTGTTGCTAGTTTTTAATATAAACCAATTACATTTAACTTGTTGACCTTATTTGCTGGATTTTTTTTTTTTTTAAAGAAAAACAGAAAGTCCAAAGCAAAATAATGCTGAGTTTTCTACTTTTCAGGATGATATGCTCCCTACACTCTTTATTTCAAATCTCCTAGGAGGCATTGAAACTTGAATTTTTATAGCCACGTGGATTATTTTTTTCCTAAGCTTGTAATATTGTACCAATGATTTCAGGCCTTTTTCCTAGGGAGGGGAGGGCATTACACCTTCATCTTAAACTCCTCTGTGTTATCTAGGCTAAGGGTAATGAATTCAGGCAATCATTGGGACAATACATCTGATGTACTATTATGTCACGACGAGTCAATATGCAGAGCATTTATCATGACACGTAGCTAGGCCAGAGTGACAGTACTGTATAAAAAAGCAATTGAGGGTCACCATATTCTCCAGCTTTGTTTAATTTTAAAATGAGTATATTTTTTTCCTATTTTATATCAGGTAACTAAATTATGCTAGTTGTGTGGATAACTTTGAACTATGCTTTGACGGACAGAATCTTAATGGTGCTCCATCTGATCAAAGTTGGTATGTATTTAAAGAGACAAGCTTTACTGTTGTCCTTTACATCAGTAGAACAGTAACATAATGTTAAGACATTGTTTTTGCTGATTGAAGCTGAGATAAGTTTGAACTACAGTTATATGGGAATTAAAATGCTTTTTTTTTTATCATCCACTTGTTTCATTGGTAGTTTCCACATCATTGTAAACCTAACAGATGATTAGTTTTTTGGGGGAGGGTGGGGTGGGTGGGATGCCTTTTTTTTTTTTTTTTTTTTTTTTTTCACTTAAAATTTCTAGGCTGAAATGAGTAATGTGTAATTCTGGTGGGGTCCAAAGTAGAAATTAGTTGGGCAAAGATCATATGAATGAAAAAGTATTTTAAACGTTAAAGTAATGTTCTGCTTTGTGAATATGTAAGTATAGCATAAAGGTTTTTCCATCCCATCTATCCCCTTTAAAACCATAGTTTACAATTGGTAGATCTGTCTATATATATAAATATATATATATCTGAAATTCACCTAAATCTGCTTTATTAGAATACTGCTCACTTAATGCTTAGAAACTGGACCTGGCTCTACATTCTTAATGTATTTTCCTCTTTTTTTTTGTTTTGTTTTGTTTTTTTTTTCCTCAAGGTATGAACTTATTCTCTTGGAACTGAATCTTCTTTTACTACTTAAATCATTTATGTATATCTGGTAAATTATGACCAAATTTGTTGTTAGACTGCATACAGTAAATTGAAATATACACTTCGTACACTACAGAATTGTTGTGCTTTTGTTCTGATGATATTTGAAAAAGCAGGCTTTAATAGAAGTTAGTGTTATTTATAAATATTCCGTTATTATTCATTGGCCTTAAAGATTCTGTTGCATTGTGACAATCACTGTTTCCTTGCTCCTCCTTAACTGCTTGCTGTTAGAAGTTGCATGTGATTGCCCTTGGGAGGGTTGGAGGGAGAGGGAGGGATGCCTGTTGAAACGCGATACAAGCCCTTCAGCAAATGGTGTGCATAGTTTCATGGAGATCCACTGTCCTTGCCTTGGAGAACCAACAGAGGTTGTTTGGATGCCATCTGCAGTCTGGATTTTCTGGGCTGTTTGTTCATTCAGAAGTTATTTTTTTAATATATTACTTTTGATTGGGGGAGCTCTAAACTAATACAAGTAAATTTCCTAAGGATTACCTTAACAAAAGGGGACAGCTCAAGATTCTTTACTCAAAAAGAAGAGATGTCTATTTGCGCTAGAAGTTGTCTTCCCCTTAAGAAAGGGTGGAGCTATGCTGTAGTAACATGGCAGTGAATTTTAGTGTCTGTTTGGGGTGGTTTTGATATTTTTTTTTCCCTTTTTAAAAGAAGAAGGACTAATGCCCTTGAACTGTCTTCCACATCAAATGAAAAGGTACCTAGACTTTCCTCTTGTCTTCTGATTAAAGACTTCCCAAACCACATGTCTGAGATCTGCTGACGTGGGGCAATGCCACACACGAGGAGTTTTGTGAAAAGAATCTTGCACATGTTAAAAACAGACAAACACAGAGCTCTGATGTTGAGATTGCCCCTTTCTGTGGGCTTTTGTTTGCTCCTCAAGCAGTGGTAGTTTTCTTTTAGAAATAAACATACAGAGCACTTTCTGGCAGGGAACTGTGGTACAGGACAAAATCAAATCAATAAGTAAATTCAATTTCATTATAATTCCCTGTCAAAGTAGGTGTGATGTAAAAAAAGACAATGTAAAAAGCATTTGGCTGATGCCAGTGTTACTACAATGCAGTAGCAAAGTATTTTTAAATTGTGATGTCAGATGCATCTTGCAGGAAAAATGGCCTTTTTTTTTTTTTTTTCAATTGTGTAGAAAATGTTTTCACAGTTCAGTTTGCGACCAGAGCTTCTAGTGAAATAATTTCCTGAAGTGAAACCAGGTTTGAAATCCAGAAATGATACTTGGTTGTTAAGACAATGATGTACCCTAAGAAGTAAGAGTTGATATCCCTGCTCCCCACAGTATACACTTAATTTTTCCATCCATACTCTGTTGCAAACCCACCTCTGCCACCTTTGCTGGGAAGAAGAAGATTTTGGGGCCAGGACAGGGGCATGTGGCAGGCTTCTCCTTGTGGGTCACAGCAGTAATACCGTTAGCGGGAGAGGTTTTCTTTGCCTAGCTTTAAGTTGGTAAGGCTTTTAATAGGATTTTCTTTAATGAGGCCAATCTCTGTGGTTTGCTTGCTTTACATTTTGTTTCACTTGACGTTTCCTGTTCCTTCCACTCGGTAACACAAGTCTCCCACCTATTCTAAAATATTTCTGCAGTCTGCTGACTCCACACAGATGCAGAATAAGCGTACCTTATTGGTTGTTCCTTTATATTTTGTTGTATTTAAATGGCTTTGGAAACTAATAAGAGAAATGAAAGCAAGATAATGGACACCACCAGTAGCCTGAAAAACTTGTTGTGCCAAAAGAAAGTGACAAAGGAGAAAAATGTTGAATGCGATGTCATAAGAAAAAGGCTTTTGGTTTTGAGTTGTTACAATTCCTCTGCTTTGCTACTGGAATGTGGACAATTCACTGTATTTCTCTCTAGCACAATTTGGTGACAACCTTCTGATGAAGCTATGCAAAAAACCCAGTTTTGAATTAATCAGTGTCCCCAGAATGTGGTTCAGGCTCTGCAGAAGTAGCACCACTAAGTAGTTTTCTCTAGGTATTTTACCATATATCCTTCTGTTAGCATCCCTCTTCACTGTGTAATGTTACCCCTTTTTTATTTGATAAATGTTTGCTCTTTAGAACTGAGATTCGTCTTTTATATGTTTTAATAGCACGTTACTGTGTTTCACTAACCAGTATGGTAAAGGTTAAATATTGAGACAATGGATTAAAAAAAAAAGGTCGGTTTTCATACAGTATCCTTTAAGAAAGCTGTAATAAAATAAGCCTTTTGTAATAAAGAAAATACAGGTTTGAAATCCAGGGGCAGGGGCGTTGCTGAGCTGAACCCTTTGAGATGTTGAAGATCCCACATACACTTCATGATGGGTTTTTAAAAATACTTTTATGGGGAAAAAGGTAAAAACATACTAGAAGGGTCCTATGACTTAAACTGGAAAATAAAATTGGCTTAAGTACTTTGTATTTAACATTATTGCAATTTGAAGTGAATGTTTAAAAGAACATAAAGTTTTGCCTACCTGATTTGTAGAGGAGTAGCTGCTACAGAATACAGACATAAGTCATTTCTAACATACTGGTATGTAAACATAACTTCAAGACTTCTAATACTATGTGCACCAGTCTTTAAGTTACCATACTGCAAATAAATTTAAAAAATAACTATTTCCTTCTATCTATTGTTCTGTGCCCTGCCTCCTCACCCTCCACAAGCAGATGCAGAGGATGGATAAGTGTCAACCTACAATCATTTGCTGCAAATGACTTAATTTCTGCAGATCTCTTTGGATGGATAAGTGTTAACCTAAAATCATTTGCTGCAAATGACTTAATTTCTGCTTCTGACATAGAATAGAATTTATGGAGAACAGAATTTATTTTAAGGAAAAGAATTTATGGAGAACAGAATTTATTTTAAGGTTGTATTTTAAACTTTGCTCATAGTAACACACATCATTTGAAGATAACGAGTATCTAAAAATCAGCATCCCAGATAAGATACGTATTCCTAAAAGTGGATTTTAGACAAACTTAGGTTGTATTTTAAACTTTGCTCATAGTAACACACATCACTTGAAGATAACTAGTATCTGAAAATCAGCATCCCAGATAAGACATGTATTCCTAAAAGTGGATTTTAGACAAACTTAGCAGAGCACTGAAGGGATGCTTCAGGCACAGCCCGGTGTGTGCCGGAAGGATTGGATCCCGTGGGCAGGGCTGTTGGATGGTGTGAGCTGGACTCTCTGCCCTCTCTCCAGCCCCACCAACCTGAGATGGTCAGAACAAGTGCTTCTGCCTGGGTTTCTCCAAAGCTTCCTGTCTGTGAGTCTGAACTGGTCTTTGGCTTCTGTTTTCTTCCGAAATGAGTGGTGGTTTTGGTAGGTGGCACACAAGTTGGGTTCCTTCCGTTAAAAAACGATGGGTCCTTTCAAGGATTTGGAAACATCAGCATTTAGTGGAGCACTGGAAAAGGTTGCCCAGGGAGGTGGTTGAGGCCCCATCCCTGGAGATATTCAAGGAGAGGCTCGACGAGGCCCTGGGCAACCTGGTCTAGTTGGGGGTGTCCCTGCTGACTGCGGGGGGGTCG